AAGCGGACTACAGCGCGTGCCCGGTGTCCTATATTAAAACGCAAATAAGGGGAACCTCTATAAAAGAATGGCACCGTAGATATGACGACGGGGAAACAGCATCGGTCACGAAGGCCTTCTTTCCACGGGTGGAGACGGCGTACCCTATTGTGAGGAAACTGAAATTTGACCAAACATTGACACAACTTATGACTGGACATGGGGGGTTTCTGTCTTATCTGTATCGGTTTAAGCTGAGAGACAGTCCGGCATGCCCATGCGACTCAATATACGACGAAACGCCCTTACACATTATAACAGAATGTGCCATATTTAGCCGGGAGAGACAAGACCTAGAAACTAAGATTAAAATCCAAATTTGTACAGTAGAAATAAAAAACATTATGGAAAATAAAAAAGTAAGAGACAGTTTTATAACGTATTGTAAAAATATAGTTAGTAAAGTCATAAGTAAAAATAAATAATAGACACACATATGATTACGTATATCATAAGTATATATTAACATATGATAAGAAATAGTAATATAATGTAAGTTAGATAAGATATGCAAATAAGAATGTAAATAAACTGTAAAAATTAGATATTAACAATTGTAATAGTATATAAGAAACGAAAATAGATAATAAGCAACTTAGATAATAGTTATAAGTCACATAATAAAACAAAAGAACTTAAAATTATTGAAGCTGTACAAAATATTAAAAATATAGTTTAGATAAAATAGGCCGAAATCCCAGCGGCAATAATGTGAAAGAAGCGCGTGGATGTGACGTATGGGTATAAATGCGGAAGAATGATTGATAGAACTAGAATGAATGAGGTACAACAGGTCTCCAATTAATTTGGAGGAGAGATTAGTTTTTATAAAAAAAAAAAAAAAAAAAAAAAAAAAAAAAAAAAAAAAAAAAAAAAAAAAAAAAAAAAACAAAAAAAAAACAAATACAAACCACAAAACCTCTACAGGATAGCTCTGCTTGGAGGACCAAGACAAGTCGACCGGTAACAGCGACTACGACGACATGCTCATTGTTACAGACGGAAGCAAAATCGGAGGCAAAGTGGGGGCCGCGCTGTCGATTTGGAAAGGGGACACAGAGACTAAGACCCGCAAACTTGCCCTGTCAAATTACTGCACGGTCTACCAAGCAGAGCTGCTGGCACTGTGTGTGGCGACGACGGAAGTCAAGAAGAGTAAAAGCAAATCTTTTGGAGTTTATAGCGATTCCATGTCGGCCCTCCAAACCATAACAAACTATGATAGCCCCCATCCACTGGCAGTCGAGGCTAGACAAAACATTAAAGCCTCGTTTCTCCACGGCAAGGCTGTAACCTTGCATTGGATAAAAGCTCACGCAGGGCTGAAGGGTAATGAGAGGGCCGACGGACTTGCAAAGGAAGCCGCAGAAAACTCCAGAAAAAGACCAGACTACGATCGCTGCCCGATCTCATTCGTCAAGCGAAGCCTACGAATGACCACGCTTGAGGAATGGAACCGGCGCTACACAAGCGGCGAGACGGCATCCGTCACTAAGTTGTTTTTCCCAGATGCATTGGTGGCGTATGTAATAGCTGAGAAAGAGTACAGCCCCAGTAACATACTCCATCACAAATCATGACGGGGGCATTGGCGCGGTTCTCGGAAATTATGTCGATGGTTTAAGTGTAAAGAGCGCCCGTCATGCATTTGCGACCCAGCAGTGAAAGAAACCGTTCCTCATGTGCTGGTGGAATGTCCCATCTTTGCACAGGCTAGACATGATATCGAGCAAAAGTTGGACGTGAAAATTGGACTTGACACGTTGCATGAAATAATAATAGATACAAATAGAAATCAGTTTTTGAAATACTGCATAGCTATCATTGGAATCGTAA